TGCTAATCTCTCCTCACAGCACCCAGACCAGAGAAGGTTGCTGACATGTTAGGTAACAAGTCTCCTGCAATGATCCTACCTCTAGGCTGGCTCTGTGACCAGGCTGTCACAACTCTGTTGATGAATTGTAGTGCCATGTAAACATCCAGATACATCAATGCAACAAGAATCTGCAAATTGTTCCAAGCACAGGGAGGAAATTTGCAATTCAGAGTGGGTTTGGTAACCCTGAAATTGCATTTGGGCTCTGATGTTAGAAGGAAGGCTGTAAAATAAAATGGTTCAGATTTTGTTTGGTATGTTATACATAAATTAATCATTTTCCCAAACATTCTGTTTCTTTAATTTTTATTTGACCAACTGAATTTGTTATTTTTAATTCCTTCTTTTACATTGAAACAACACAGCAGTATTGCATGTCTGAAAAATCAAATAGTGGAAATGTCTGATAAATGGATAAAGTTCAACAAATCTAACATATCATATTATTAATAAATAAATTATGTGTAGTATAATCACTTAATAATAAGGAATCAGGCAGGATAGGAATTTCAAAGTCAATATTAAAATGAATGTACAATAAGAATGAATCAACATTAATAATGATTCAACTACCAATAGTAAAGATGCTGATTGAATAGTGGATAAATAACCATCTAGTCTATCAACAACTCAACATCATTAAATTAGATTCTTATGATAATATTAATAAACAAATGCAAAAATTTAATCCTTGATTTTTGATTGATGGCAAGGATTTTTTATTTTTCCATCATAGATAATTAAATCAAAGATTTTTCAATTACACCACTACCAAGGCACCAATAATTATTATACCAAATAACAACATTCTAGATTTCAGTAATAATGACAATAATAATAATAATTTAATTATGTAAATAAATTACAATAAGTTAATTATTATAGAAGGTTACTTACTTGACCAGGAGCAATTGCTCTTACTGATTCTTTGAATTCAATAATATGTTTGTTGTTATTATGATCAAATTCAATAATTTTACATTTTACTATAAAATAGATAAAATAATTAATATGATCTGTTTTGACATAAAAATGAAGTTTCTATCTATGCAAACCTGGTGTTTGTCTATATCTAATTTGTGCATGTAAATCATCACCTAATTAATTATAATTAGTAAAATAATAACAAATATGGAATAATAATAGTAATTTAATTACTTTGCAAAATTTCTTTTGGTAAGTCATTCCAAATCCAGATCCAATCTTTTGCAACAAGTTTTTTGGAATATAATAATGAATTTGTTCTACAAAATTACCATTATTGATATATAATTGATAATATGAATACCACTTGCCAATAATATTATTGTGATTACTTACGATCCAGGTACCACAATTAAAGTATTATCTTCAACATTTATTTTTAATACAAACCATCTAAACAATAAATAATTAATGTTAAAATGTATTTATTATTATCAGACATAAATTATTATTTATTACCTTTCTTGTAAATAATTGATTTTTACACATTGCCCAATTGTATATGCAAATAATCCTTTATGTTCACCTGTCAATATTAATAACAATAACAATAACATTTTACCATATAAACTCAAAATATTATTATTAATAATAATATTATTATTGTATGATTTTTTACCAATTACTTTTCCATCAATTGTCAAGATTTTACCATTTTTTCTGTGAATGAATTGTTCCAAGAAATCTGAAAATTTCTTTTTTTCACCAATGAAACAAACACCCATACTTTCGGGTTTACTTGCTGTGATCAGATTCAATTCTTTTGCAATAATTTTCTCATTGGAAAAAAAATTTTTTGATAGCCAACTTTAACTAATCATCGGTAATTGTTATGATTACTATTGATCTTTTAGGGTTATTTGGTAGAAGGCATTTATATGCGTAATTGGGATTTGGTGGATGATATAGGTGCATGTACAAGCGATAGAGATTGGTCAGATGTACAAAAAGTATGTGAACAATTAGAAATACCTTGCAATCAGGTAATGAATAAGATCTTTTTTTAATCTAATTAATTTATTAAATCTACACACATACATGTAATTGAAATGTATATGTGTGTGTGTGTATGTATGTATGTATGTTCCTTAATTTCTAAATCTCTTTAATAAAGATTAATCTTACTAAAGAATATTGGTTAAATGTGTTTATTAAAATGATTCATGATTATGAAAATGGTATAACGCCTAATCCTGATATTATATGCAATCGTGAAATTAAATTTGGAGTGTTCTTGGATAAATGTTTGAATTCTTCTACATCAATCAGTCAAAATGAAAATAGTACAACTTGGATTGCAACAGGTAAAATTAATAATATATTTATATTTATACTTGTATTTACATTTATATATTTATTTTATTTTTTGGCTCCATAGGACATCATGCTAGACTCGACTAGAACAACGTAGGACGAACAGAGTGCTTAAGCGGTAATCCAATCCCCTGCATC